AGACTTCATCTCAAATTCTTTCAATCCAACGTTCCCTTTAAAATGAAAAGTCCTGTCGTAATGGGTATATATAGTCTGTGGGATAGAGCGTTAGCTTGACGCCATCGCAAGAATGAGCCCCAACTCTGAGCATGTCTGTCGGGTCGAATGAAAGAGAAAAGTTCAGGTCGTCTTTGATCAAATCGAAGGTAACATTACAACCATTCCCAGCTGCAGTACAACAGGCATGAGACGTCGTATTTCGGTGAGGTTGATGTCTACACTTTACTGCCAACTGTATGTCTCCAGGGCACCGGTTTGGCATAAGATTCATCAAAAGCCACTTATCCTTTGCACATTGCAAACCGCACAGATCTGCTCTCGGAGACCGGCCGAGTGGAGACATTCAACTCGACCTGGCTGCAGGTCTGTCGCTACGACGTGGTCAGTCGACCGGATCAGTCAGCTCGGCCCGACGCCATCGGATCTTTCCCGTCCGAGAATGGTCAAGACAGCGGCCAGTTGGTGGTGCGCTGGGCCGGAGCCGATTATCCCTACGAATGGGAGTTTCGTGACGCCGAAAGCCTGATTCGATTGGTCGACTGTCTGGCTGGCCCGGCCAATGCGACGCAGTGCCTGAAGGCGGTAACTCGAGAGACGGCGGTAAGGCGGACGTGAGAAGAAGTTTGGATAAGTAGGGAAATTATTTCCATTCTTAACCGACGTGATGATGAAGCGATTCGAAGGTCGAGGAGACCAGAAGAGAAGGACTAATTCATGGTGTACTGCAGCCGTTTGGCTTTGATACAACGTTCAAGTTGACGAAGTTCACGAGACGTCCTCCCTCGGATAATATAGTTAAATATATAAATAATGTTTACGATAATTATCATCCTATATTCCCCTATTTAGGGAAAATAGTTAAATATATAATAGTTTTGAAATGAGAATAATAATAATAATAATAAAACAAAAACCTGTTGTTTACGTGAAACTCCTGGAGGAAGGAGTTTCAGCTCTGATGATGTCTATCATATGCTGGACGAAAAATGAGTAATTAATCATATCTCAAAGAGGGATGATGTGTAGTCAGTCGCCTTTTGGGAGGTCGACATTCGAATCGCTTCCTCATGCTCTTTCATACGAAATTAAAGTCTGCTCCACAGTTGTTGCGAGAAAGAGCAAAGAGAGATTACTAGACACGCCCGCCGGTGGCAAAAGTGTCTCCATTCAGATCTGCTGATCTATTGCTGCAGTCACCTTATTCTGCACTTTCTTTTGCAAATTGGTCAATTTCAAGACGTTTTAATTTGTCTATTGACTAGTCATTAACTCAAATGGAAAAGTTGAATTATTCCATCATATTGGAAATAAGTAGAGTTAAGACTATCAGTACATAGTGAATAAATCTTTTATTATTACTGCTACTATTATTATTACTACTACTGCGAAGACCACTACCTAACTAACCAATTAAATAAATAAATAAACAATAATTAGTTGATAAATAAAAAAATAACTAACAAGCATTAAAATACATAATTATAAATCTAACTAACTAAATAATCAATTAATTATTTCATTATATAGATAGATATCTAAATAACTAACTGATTAACTTGCTA